ACATCTGGTGAAAATTTCATGTCATTAGCRCCTCTAATAATATATTTACTGAGAAAAATGGTGACATGTTCAATACTWATTTTACCCGCTGTAGTTTAAAACCTGTGAACAGAGAGTTGCTGGCAGTTTATTCTTAGTTCTCTGGCTTCTCACCCTAAAAACAGAGCTTTAATGGTTTTACAACATGTTTTCTTGGTTAAACAAATGSCAAACTTTCTATAAGTAGCTTCAGTTTTTAATACAAATATTGGGCAAGACACAGAACAGGCATTTCTAATAAAAAAAAAGCCCATTACAWATATTTCTTTAAAACACACAGTAGTTCTAAGAACAGAGAAAGTTTAAAAGAGAGATAACAACTCTGCATACAACCGAAACAGGAAGCTGTGTGAATGCATGAGAGTGGGGTAAAAAGGCAGCTAAGGAAACTATTTTGTTTTGTCACTGTGAACGCATTTGAACATTGGAACATTTTRTTGTAATTTTATGGTCAGAAAATAAATAAAACTCAAATAGAAACAGGCAACGGGAAGCGTCAGGTTTGAACTCAGAAGAAAACTGAGTTTAGAACAGAAAGACTCACAGGGGAGGATGTTGGGGTATCTGTTCTTCTCCTTGTTCTCATCCTTGTTGGCCTCCTCGTACGCCCCTTGGGGATTGCCCCCTGGCAAGGACTGCGGAGCAGAGTGAATGATGTGACATAACTTCACGTGATAAACATTCTGCCATCAGCGTAAAGCCAGAGCATTGTATTCTGCTGCCTGTAGGCACTTCCTCCGATACCCAAGCAGAGAAGTTCAACTTCCTCTGTCTGTCCCTACAACCGTCCAAATAAAAATCTAATTTGTGTTATATGAGTCAGTAGTCAAGCCTTATAGTTTGACTCAGATCCTGAGTATYAAACAGGAATAGCCCAAAAGGTACTTTTCATCCATGTGGGTGAGAATGAAGTCAGTCTGTGTCACAGATAATGTGACAAACATTACTCTTGCAATTTTCCTAAATACAAATAATCCTACAAGTTGTGGTTTAAATCTTTACCCTTTCATTAGCATTTAACCATTTTGGAGGGGGAAATCCCTTCAAGTCTTAATTTAGAATATTAGGTGATTTTGTTGCCATGTGTGACATTTAAAGGAGACCAATTATGGGTCCTAGAAATTTTTATGGCATGTCTGTGGGCTGTCCAGACCATGTTCATTCAATTTAATGCACAAAATAATTCTCAGACAATAAAATTTCCCATTTTCTAGTTCTGCCTGCTCTGACTTCCATTCAGAAGAGCTGTTTATGTTAATGAGCTCTGTTGGTAATGCCCTCCAAAAATCTGTTGACATTAACTCCGCCCTCCAAAGCCAGCGTTTACGTTAGCATGGCTAATTGTAGCAGAAGCTCCGCTGAACAACTGTATATATGAGACCCTGCTGAGTCAGACCCAGAGGCAGAGTCGTGGTCGCAGCTTTCTTTTTTTTTTCCTCCCCTCCTCTGCTCTGCGCTCACTCTGCATGCTGTTACCAGAGCAGGGAGCAGCAGCGGTCAAAATACCTCAGAAACTCGAGCAAATAGGCTTTAACAAGGCTTTAATAAGCTAAACAATAGAAGTACATGAGAAAACGTGTTCATAACGAATGAAAATAAATAATTAATTTGTGTCCGTGCCGGTCTCGAACCCCAGTCTCCCACTCCCTCGTTGAACACTCTACCCATTGCCCCATTGGAGGCTTGTTGTGAAATGAGCTGCGCATTGCACARTAACAAGCGTGACGGCTTTTTATTCTGGAGGTGGAGCTTCACCCGGGGGTTGATAAGTAAGGGGCTGAACGCAGGTTCCGGTGGGTTGTCGTACGGCTTGTGACATCACAAAATGACGAAAGTATAAAACTTGTCGTTAATATACATTAAAAATACATTTACTTACAGTAAATATGCCCCTGGGTGCATATTTTTTTGGTGCTAGGACTGTTTTTTTDAGAAGTACATACCCAAAGTTGAGTAAAAAAAACCTTTAAAAAGTGAATTTTGCATAATAGGTCCCCTTTAAAGGCTTTTGGTTGTAAAGCTTGATAAACACTGTTCAATGACTGTTTTTAACTGACCGCTAAGACTTACATTGTACTCCTCCCTGAAGAGCTTGCCGTCATCAGCTGAGCGGAGCCGGTATTCCTCCTCGAGGTGGTCGACCGGGATGGGTAAGTAGGTCTTGGAGGCTGAGGGGGATCTGGGCAGAAGGACCACCGTCTGTTGCTCTGTGGGGGGGTGGGGAACAGATAGTTGGTGTGACGCCTCCACAAAGTGACTTGGTGCTTTTGTTGTAATAAATAAGTGATTTAAGGTTACATCAATCAGTTCTATTCATCAGATCAACTAACGTTAGAGTGATGCTTTACTAAACAAACTACGATTGGGTTGAATTAAATCTGTGTTTCCCAACCTTTAGGGACAAACTCCTAATGACAGAATGATCGTACATCACTATTATTATTATCCATGTTCTCATTTCAATTAGTTTTTTATGCCTAAAAGCCAGTATTGTCTAATAAATAATTTCAGTTCCTTTTTGTTAAATTTTATTTAAAACAACCAGGAACATTTTTAAAGAATCAGTTTACCACGAGTTAAATAGAGATGAACACAATAAGACATAAATCGCTATAATAGTTTAATTTTATTGAGTTAACTTTAGAGTTAAAGTTTGGTGTGGTAGTAGCTGAGTGTCTTCTCAAACACAAACTCTAAATGCTGTTATATCTTTCTTTCTGGCTTTGCTAGAACCAACTCTCCTTTCTRTATTTTATCCATCTATTTTAGTACTTTTTTCACAATATTGTCTTTAAACAATTGGATAGTCTTCATTTTTACAGTTTCTATAGTGAAACACTATTCAACCTTTTATTACTAGTGATTCTAATCTTCAGTTCTTAACTTTCCATTTCTTCCAGCTACTTAAATCAAACCTGATCATCCGTTACACGTTTGAACCAAAGTTCGACATGCAACCACCATTAAATCCCTGAAGCAGGTCTGGTTGGGAATCACTGAATCGGCTTTAAAATACGTATTACTTCATTGAAGAAAAAAAAGAGAGAACAAATTTACACTTGTGACACTGCGGCGTGTTTGCCTGCACTGCTGCRGAATTCACAGATCACCAGACACAGACAGGTGTTAAAGAACCAAAAGAACCCAGTGAGGAGCCACAGCACCGCGCCTTCAGCATCCAGTTAACAGAACTCAGAACAAGCAGCCGGACAAGGTGAGAGGAGAGAGTTAGTAACACGCCAGCACTTGTGCTGCCACCCTGAATACCTGACCTGGTGGTAAAACGGTGTATATAGACTCAGTACTGTATCCGAGGTCTAAAAGACAAACCACATCACATCACATACAMATGAGTAATAACTACTTACTTTAAAGATACCTGTTACTCTTCTCATATACTGTATYTTTGCCAAATGTCTCAGCTAATAAAAAAAAATAATTATTTGTAGAGACAAGTGTACAGCATGTTCTGGTCATGCCTTTTTAACGTTGGATAAGAAAATAAGACCAACTTGGAAACAGCTGGGACATTGTGTAAAATGTAAATAAACAGAAAGCAATGATTTGTAAATCTCATAAACCCCTTTTTGCAAATGAACACAGTATACATACAATATACGATTTCAGAATAAAGTTCTGAAATATTGGAAAGACTTGGAATAATCCATCAACTGTCTTTTCGATGGTATAGGTTTGCATCACKGAAGGCACAGTTTTTAGAACAATATAAGCTCCCTTCCAGAAAATGTCTTTTTCAGGGAAGGTCTTGCATATTTCAGCAAGATGACACTAAACCACATTATGCATCCATGACAACAAATATGGCTTTTGTAGTAAAAGAGTCTGGGTCCTGAACTGGTCTGCCTGCAGTCCAGACCTCTGACCRAATGAAAATATTCAGTTCAAATGCAAAAATATTAATATGAGATAAATAATATGATAATAATAGGTGCCATTATA